AGGCTGTTGTCAAGTTCATAATTATCATTGCATATCATAAGTCATAACATTAATTAATTGTTTGTTTTTTAAAATAAAATAAAATAACACATTTGATAAAAAGTAACATACCTCCACTAAAGTATTGCAGTAAGTTGATTCCAAGCATAGCTTGGTAAAAAATAACTTTCTTCTTCCAGAGCTGCAGATCTGAGCATGCGGGACCACACCCAAATTTTGGAGCACATGGCAAGTTTCTTTAATTAACAAAATGGCGGCATGTAGCTAAGATGGCTCGATCCAGGAGTCACAGTATCAGTTTTTCCTTACTTGAAGAATGATCTGATGGGACATGGACCTGCGCATAGACTGTTGGAGTAGATTGGTGTAAGAGAATTATTCTTGTAGCCCCAACTGATATTGAGATACACACCGACAACTGGATTGACAGGACTTGATGATGAAGATGAAGATGATGATGATGACTATGATGAAAAAAGGTGGCCGAACAAAACGGCCAGTTCGCCGATTTTTGACTTTTCGCTTAGACAAGGTCTAGAGCCACGCCAGTTGTACCATTGGAGTCCTCTGGTCAAGATAAGGTCCTCTATAAAGTCTGGAAGCATAGGAGCTCGTTTTCCCGGTATAGCAAGGCTGCAAAAGTCGTGGCAGCCATTTTTTGTTTGGGGGGTGAATCCTACTTAGTAACGCTACCGCGTTACTAATAGTACAGAGACTTTGGCCAGATTTTTGAGTAACATTAAAAATCCAATTTTAGTCGGAAATAGCTCAAATTTTCTATGCAACATTAGAACATGTATAAAACATTATAATATTAATGAAGAATTTTCTCCTAGTCATTTTTGGTGAAATTTGGCCAAAATTCTTGTACCATTTTCCCAGTATAGCAAAGCTGCAAAAGTCACGGCAACCATTTTGAAGTGGGGTGAATCCTACTTAGTAACACTACCATGTTACAGGACTTTATTTCAATTTTTAAGCTATGCAAAAATTCATAAAAATCCAACTATTTTAGTCAGAATCAGCTCAAATTTGCTAAGCAACATTAGAACATGTATATGCATCAGAAAAAAAGAATTCTTTGTTAGTCATTTTGGCAAAATTTGGCAGAAAATCCTGTACTACAGTACAGGGATTTTGGCCCAATTTCTTAGATACGCTAAAAGTTCAAATTTAATTTTAGTTAAAATTAGTTCAAACTTGCTAGCATCTTACCCATTGATGGTATTAAGTAGTTGAACTGAACTTCAACAGAACTAGTCTCTTTGATTGATTGTTCCTCTTGGAATGTGATCCTCTCCTGTTGTTGTGATTTCTCTTTCACTAGTTTAGATATATATGCATCTTTCTCAAATACTGTAGTCTTGAAATCATCTACACAAAGACATACAGTATGTATTCTCTCATTCAATACGTGCTGTGTATTATTGACTCACTGATAATTATCTGCTTTTCTTTAAGTTGTTCCTCTACTTGTGTCTTCTCTTCCAATAGTTCAGTTATATAAACTTCATTATCAGTAACTATAGCATTAAGTTTCTCATATTCTCCTAGATTAATAGAATATTCTCTCATCTAATATTATGTACTGATGATACACTAACCAGTCATTATTTGTTTCTCCTCCACTGATTCCTCTAGTTCATCAGTTTTAAGCTTCTTAAAATTATCTGCAGAAAAATTAAGTTTTCATTCTCAACACAACAAAAAGCAAGAAAATAAAAGCCAATAAATACAATAAAACCCAATAGTTATGGTTTCATTTATACTTCCTAACCTGAGTGTGGTGAGTCCTCTTGATCTCTCTTTCGTTTAGTAAGAAGAGTCTTAGTTTCTAGTAGTTGTTTTTCTAATGTTAGCATCCTCTTCTCTTGAATAGAAATAAAATAATGAAATAAACAATTTCCTAAAATTGCACATCCATTTTTGTACAGAGTGCATGTAATTACAACGTAATTATGTAAAACAAAAATACAAAAACTATTCATAATATGTACAGTAAATGCACACATACCTGATAGTGATTGAGTCTCCAGTAGTGCTTCCTGAAGTGATTGGTTGTTAATTCTAGCCATTTGTAGATCATGACGTAAAGACTCATTGATAACTTGCTCCTTCTGTTTATCTGCCATGTATTCATTTAATTCCTCTCTTCTTTCTTTTAGTATTTGTTCATGCAATAAAGGAATATTAAATAAATTTAATACTGAGCCCACTGACCATTGACCATCATTAAAAACTGAGGGAGGGAGGGAGGGAGAAGAAAAAGGAAGGAATAAAATAAGTTAGTGATTGAGTGAGGGAGGCAATATGGCATGCATACAATACCAGGGGGTTACTTGCAACAATGTATGGTCTATCTTCTTAGGAATGTAATTACAAAATTTAGCATATAATGCATGTGATGTAAACAATCAGTAAACCACAACATTGACATCAACAACAATTATCCCACATACATCATCCCAAAATCTGAGACTACATTTACACACCAAAACAACAGAAAAGGAATTTTTGTTCCTTTTTGTTCTTGTGGCCTTATACATGTATTTGTTTCTGTGCCTGATCTGCCCATGCAATATAAATAATAGAAATAATTCAGTCTAAAACAACTCTAAAATCAACTCTAAATCAACTCTAAAATCAACTCTAAACATGACAACTCTAAAATCAGGACAATGAACCTCTATAAACCAGTTAGCACTAAGTATATTCATAGAATTTTGAGTATATTCATTGTGATACTGTAAATAAAGTAAAATTTTCCTACCACCATTTTGGAGTCATAGTTACTAAGAGTATAGAATGGGAGAAAGCAATATCTTTGCTTCTATATCTTCTAGTGGCACTTATTAAAGTCCATGAGCCCACTATAGACACTGGATGGTCAGTAAGCAGTAGCAAGATTGCTGTCATGAATAAACACCGCATTTTTTGGAGAATAAGCTCTTTTCGCGATCGCTCCATAGACAACCATTGGAACTAGGACTCCAAAATGGCGGCAGGAAAATTTTACTTCATTTACGGTATCATGATGAATATACTTAAAATTCTATGAATATACTTAGCACCAACTGGTCTATAGTAAGGATACTTTCATAATCAGGACAGTATATCGGTTTGCAAAGTGTCAGGACAGACAGGTATGACTTGAGTTCATATACACAGTACATATTTGTGATTTAATAGAGCATGCTAATAAAATGGTGGATGTTATATTGACTGTTTCGATCTTCATGGAGCCCCCAATCTCTCAATAATGCATGTAAAGTGTCAATCTTGTAAAACTATACATGTCCATATATAAATAATTAATATTACCTAGTTTAACTACCATTGTGATATTAGGATCAGTCACAGGTGTATTAATCCATTTTATTACTCTTCCTCCTCCTCCTCCTCCTCCTCCTACATGTTTCTGTTCAGTCTTTAAGCCACCTCCCACTATTATCAGGAACACATGATTAGGATCAACAACAAAAGATGATACGTATGATCATATCTACTAGTAACAGACTCAGGTAAAGGAATCTGTAGAAAATAAGAAATAGGAAATAGGGAATGTAAGCGCACTACAGTAACTGCGTATATAGAAACTAGAAAGACTGTATAACATGATTGAGAAAAGTGGCTGATGGTATAACTAATGTGGTATTCGCATATTTACAAATACAAATACTCTATACAGGAATTAGAACCATTGCTCAGTAACATTTTTCTTTTAAAAACAATTAAAATACATGCTTAAGAAAGGAGTTATACCATATATTATGATTATAAACAAAATTAATACACAAAAACTATAAAAGTGAAGGGTTTTCATCAGACAAGTTTTATGTCATAATTATGCATTGATCAAATGGCTGACAACAGGGGCCATAAAGGAGGCTCCTACTGACAAGCATAGTTAAAAAATGTAGTAATGTGCTCAACCCAGTCAGCGAGAGGCTTCTAACAAATGTTCTTTACTATAGCAAGATATCTTTAGGAATTGAGAGACAAACAATCATTTCTGTGCTCTCTGTCTCAGCATATTACAAGTCGCGAAAAGCAAGCTTACATGTATTTGATCAAAAAATTGTACTATACTATAAGATCAGCTTTATTAATTTTTCTTCTGACTCAACTTAGTTTTCACCATCAAATATATCATTGAAGACACAAAACTATTCAAAAATTGTGGCTACATATTGTACATGTACGTGAGTAGATATCATAACTGAAGAAAGGTATAGCATATTCATTGCAAAATTAATCATAATCATAAATTGTTATCTCTCACTAAAAAGTCTATACAGATAAAATCTCTATTTTGCTCAATTTACAAAAATTAATTTTGACCACTCAATAATTTTACCTACACTATGACTATAATGCAATTATACCTTCATCCAAGTGAACAGGTTTGTCTCTAATAACAAACAATCATTCACTGGTTGACCTCTAGCATATCCACCAATCACTACTAGTGTAGGTGAGGTAGAGACACCATTGATAATAGTACTGGCATGAGCACATCTCTCCTTAGGCCACAGTCCATCATTAGGTATTGCTCCTTCTTTAAGATACTCCCAGTTCTAAAAACATAAATAAATGTGCATTTACATTTATATGTTTTGTTATCTTAGGCTACTCTACATCTAGTTATTTTAATAAAATACCGTATAGCAGGAAATTTTGGAGGGAGTTAAATTAGGTGAATTGCTAAAATTTGGTGATTGGTGAATTTTAATTTGGCAAATTTGTGGCCATGTGCCATTGAGCATGCATACAATGGTTTAAAATGGCAGATTTTTATTTTAGTAAATGGCTATCAAAACGCCAAATTCGCCAAATTTAACTACTTCCAAAATTTCCTTCTATACAGTATACATGTATTTACATGTATGAGTCACTACCATCCAAATTTGTCATTGAATAATTTCATCAAAATCACTTTTCAATGTGTATTATTCTGCTACATGTATGATTCACATACTATAGAATGCGGAACAGCACCGTCATGATGCAAAAAAATGTTTAGGCAATTTTGACAAAATTTTTGATTGACAAAAGGAGTCACCCAGTACATGTATTAACTTACTATTGTATTATGTGATAATTGAAACAAGTAGATACTGTTAGTAGCTATACCATCATGAACTGCTCCTCCATACATAATTCCTTTATTATGATTGATCTTTTCAACAGTAAAGCCACTAGTTGGAGGACAACACTGTCCACTGACAGATGGAACAGTCCATTGTCCTAAAGAGAATTATCAGAGCTATAAACTATTAATTTGTCTATAAAATAACAGTAAGTACATTGGGATGTGAGCAAACTTCAAGGTGGCAGGCATGCAGTAGCTTCAATGGTCATCTTACTGCAAATTACATGGTCACATGCACCTGCATTTTAAAATAAATCTAATGCAAAATTTGTACCGCACAAGTCAAAAAAATTATTCAAAATAATCATAATTGTGAAGTTTGCATGTTTTCATTGTCATTGCTTGAGACCCCTTGAATAAAAGAAGGAAGATTGGCCATATGTTACTTCTATCCACAGAGCCACTCTGCTCACTTCATTATACCATATAGCCAGAAAATTTCGTGGCAAAAACTTTCGTAGCTTGGTGCATCAGTGGCTCCCAGCCTATTTGTGGTTTTTCTTTTTGTGGATCATCAGTGAAGCTCCCACACCTCTCATTAACCTGCAAACATTTCATGGTTTTTAATTTTGTGGTGTCATTTCAAACCACAAAACTATACAAGTTTTTGGCCACAAAACTTTCTGGCTATAGTATATAATGCTTTGCAAACAAATAGACTAAGTATTATTTTACTGATACCGTATTTCCTTAAATAAAAGCCCGGGCATCTATTTGCTAAAATGGTATTTGGATCTCGAAAAAATATATAAAAAATAAAAAAAACTTCAGCCCAGAGCGGGATTCAAACCCCTAACCTCATGCTTTTGACTTCTGGAACTACAGACATTATCCTCTAGACTACTGAGTCACTCCTAGACTAGTGTTGCGTATTTATAGTTTAATTCTATTGCTACCCCAGCGTTTATTTGAATGCGGCTTCTATTTAAGGATTTACGGTACATAGAATTAGTTGTCCTTAAATTTTATAATACAACATGACTGATTGAATCACTTACCAGAGAACAGGCTGTAGATGTTCTGTTCATTAGTTCTAACACAATAATCCCAACCAGTTATCTTTTCGTATTCAAACTGATAATGATGTGTAATAGTTGATATAGGAGCTTGTCCACCAATAACCGTGCCAGTAACTGTTGAGGTTCACTTTCACTTCCGATTACTATCATGCCACCATAGCCTCTCTTAGTCACAGAATTGTCACTAGTTGGTTGTAATTCTTTCCATTGAAGAGTTAAAGTGTCTAAACAGTTCAAACTGTTATGGTAGCAGAAGTCATGGCCACAATAGCCACCAATATTATTATTAATGGTGGTACAGGAGACACCTCTGATTCCCAAGGGAGGAGTACCTCTAGTAGGTTGAGAGGACCAAACACCAGATAACAAGTTAAACGCATCAATAGCAGAAGTAGTCTGTCTCTTTGTAGGAGAATCATGCGACCCAACTAAACCTTCCCGGGCCCCTCCCCAGCAGTACAGGACCTCTCCTACTACTGCAGTTGTGTGTTCAGACCTCCATCCCAGTCGATACTGACCTGTAGAATGATGAATTATACTTCTTTAAAAGAATACCAACCTTTTCTATCCATTTAGCTGTGTTTACGTTTGTACCATAGATAATACATGTAATAGAGTACAATACATCAAGGGGGTGTCACTTGCATATAGCCTGTACTGATGTTTGCGACCGGGATCAAAAATTTTGATTCGGAAAATAACTGCTTGATCCCTTGATTTGGTAAGTTTGAAGGCCTTGATTTCTTGATGTGATAAGTTTTGAAGCTTTGATCCAACCAATCCTTGGGGTTAAATTTCGATTAATAATCTATATTAATTAACTAATATTAAAGTTAGTGATGGCTTCTTCGTGCTTCTTGCTCTCCCAGACTCCCACTGACTGCTAGATGCATCCATACCCGAACTCTTGTGTCTATAGAAGCAAGGCTAATGGGAGTAATTTTTATAAGCACAAAGCTCCCTGCTTCCAGAAGTTAAGTATCGTCCAAGAAACATCTAATTTCAATAATTTTTATGTCATTATGTCATTTTGCATATGTCATTTTAATTATGTATTACGTCATAATTGTTATTATACTTTAAAAACGGACAATATACGGATTTTTACGAAAAATATTCAAGTCTTTGATCGTTTGATCGTCTTGAAAAAAGGTCTTGATCTCTTGATCCACAACGTTTTGGAGTGTTGATCAGTTGATTCCATCTTGATTCCGGTCGCAAACATTACTACAGGCTATATGCAAGTGACACCCCCTTGATACATGCAATACGGTTTGTACTAGTCAGCCCCGCCCGACTGCCAGTCAGTACATCACGTGATCCTCCCCCACCCAAAATACATAAGGAGTGAATCAAAATTTCCAAAATCTAGTATGAAATAAACCATATGGTACTTTCACTACATTGTATTTAACTGTTACAATAAATGATGAAAAAAACATTCAAAATTACTAATTGAAGTTAATATCAATAATAAAATCAATGCCTAATTCAGTTTTAATGGCTATAATCCATTTCTGATACAAAAACTTTGCTGCACTAGTAAAACTACCACTTACAGCAAGGAATGAATTTAAAAACTTTAAACAATGTTCCTGTACTTCTGACA